GAGCTCTGAAAGATGATTTTTTCAACACACATTAATAAGGGGTTGGTTGCAAGGCTGGGAGGAAGTGTAGAGATGTTTGAAATGGTAACAAGTAGGCAGTGGAACTGGTCATCACAAGCTGGTCTCAGGAAAGAGCTGACATCCCAGTAATACTCTGAAACAGATGAACTGGGATGGGCTAGGGAAAGACGGGTCTTGAAGAAGCAGTCGTTTGACACACAAGGAAGGAGAGAGTTAGTAGGCAGAAAAGAAAGAACAACACAGAGCGATGGACTAAGAACAGTCCCGCATTGTGAGGACAAGGGCTTGGTTATTCAAGAGTTTTCTTTCCCCCTCTTGTTTCTCAGGGGGAGGAGCAGTATTTCAAGGGAGAATAATACAATCATTTGACTGTGTTAAGAGATTTATGGTCTGACTTTACCATGTGTTAAAATATTGATTCTCTTTCTAACATATGCTTTAGATATTGACATTATTTTTTCTGTATAGAAGACTGACTTCTGCATACAAAAGCTGGGACTTCATAGTAGGATCCAGCAATGCTGTGTAAATACAAAGTGACGTAAGTGAAGTACAAGTCTCAGATTTTTTCCACTCAATTAAATAAAGATAGCAAGAGAGACACTGAGCAGTGCGTGGCGGTGAGAAGCTGGAATAATTAAACAATAATATGACAGATGGTGCATTTACAGGCAATTACAGCATGCCTCTGCTGGCACTTTAAGGCACAAGGCCAAAGACTTAAGGGATTCAAACCACACAAGTAGAGCAGTAACCTCCTAGAAATGCCAGTATAGAGCATCTGGCTTGGGAGCCCAGAATGGGACTTAAATGTTGCAATAAGACAGGCAGTCAGGTCTCTGCATTTACTGGACATTACTGCTAGAGATAGAGCAGGAAGAGCAGCTCGTCTGTTTCTGTGTCCCTTGGATAATAGATTTCCAGGCATTTTTACATATGTAGCAGTGAAAGACAAATCTTCACACTGAATAAGGATGCCTCCTTCTTGCCTCGTGCATACAGCTCGAGGATACCACTGCATCAAACGACAGATTTAAAATAAGTATATTCAGAAAGCACCACCAAAAGAAATCACTCATCTGTCAAATCCCTTCCAAAACCAAGGACTGGGTTACACATCAAGCTTCAGTCTCTGAAGGCATTTGTGATTCCCCCAGGGAATCACACAGGCTTTCTGTTCCCTGCCTTACCCCACCCTATAAACCCAAAGCACCTTCCTCCTCCTGCCTCTGAAGAAGATGGGCTCTGTATCCCATGGTACCACTCAGCAGCTTAAGGGGACAATTGCATGAAATCTGCACGTGTATTCTTGAAATCATTGGGATGCATTATTCAACACACACCACAGTCATGTTAGTACACTACATTTCTGACCCCGTCAGCACATACAGAGGTGAAACAAGCTCTAGATTTTTAGAAAACAAGGAGGAAGAAAAGACAGAGATCTGCCTGGAAAGCAAACACGGATCAGGTATTGTTAAAACCTTCTTAAACTGTCAACAAAATATTTACTTAAACTCAGAACGGAAAAATCACCTTCAAGATGGGTAATTCTCATTAAAGTGGCTTTATTTTTAAATACTCCATGTCTGGAGTTACATGATTATACAGGACACTGAACCAGATTTTTGTTTTTAAAGTAAGGACTTGATTCCAGACTTTCTTGTCATATGGAAGAAATGGAAAACATGAACTTGAAAGGCTCAAAAAGAAGAATGAAAATAAAAAGCATTTAAAATGTATAAAGGCAAAAAACAAGCCTCATAAACAAATGGGTCTGGCAACATTGCTTCACCTAAATGCTTTTTTCTTCTACTTAGTAGGAGATGTTTCTCAAGACTTAAAATAAGTGTTGTTTTGTATCTGCAGGGCTTTCAGCAAGCGGCTGCTACGTTACGAAACTCTCTGGATTCCAGCAATGCACATCTCTGCTGTCTGCTGCACTCAGAGTATCTGGGAAGAGGAGAAGGAAAACAAGCTTATCATTTATAAAATTATTGCTGGTTTTGTGGTTGTGAGGCTTTCTGCAGTGTACAGGAATAACTTGTTTGTGACATCGGTAAAATAAGGATATGAAACGTAGAGCGCGTTGTCCTCTCCGTGGATACCACTCTCATGCTTTGCCAAATAACATTAGGTTTTATCTGAAGGTCATGTCTCAGGTCTTTAGGAAGCTGCATGCCATGAGGACACAACGTGAGACGTGGGCATCATTGTGCTGTGTGCAAGGATGGTCTTGTTCTGACTTTTCCAACCACATGAGGTGGCACCAAGACAATGCACCGACTCAGCACAGTCCCACTGCAAGTACACAGTGCTTTTCCCAGATTGAAGGGTTTTGGCAAAGTATTTCAGCTTTCTAGCTATTTCTGGCAACTGGAAAGGGCCACGAGAGAAATGAGTGTATGTTTGAGCACACGTTGACCCCAGAGGCAGAAAATGGCAAAAAAATGGGGTAGAAATATTCTTTAGCAGAAGAAATGATTGGGTCCCTCATCTATAATTGGAAAACTCACATCTTCTCTTGTTGTTCCTCTTCCAAGAAAACAAGGGGAATTAGGTCCTCTATGACAGGCTTTCCCCTCCTCTCAACTATTGCTAACACCGCTCTAGTAAATAAATACCAGCCTTACTCAAAGCTAAACTCATTCCTGGTTTTAAGGCATTTTGAAAAGTACAATATTAAGCTGCAGACAATGCCCATGCCTCTCTCCTCTCTCATTCAGTCCTTCCAGTCCTGAAGGTGGTAACTGTTTTTTCCCAACAGAAAGAGGTGTCTTAAAAGCAGACTTACTAGAGACTGTCAAAAACAATCTCCACAATCACGCCTGTCCCACTGCTATCAGCTTTCTAGACAGGCTGCCAAGTTGGCATTTGACTAGCTAAGAAAATGGATTTAGCATATGATGCCAGATTCCATTTCTCAGTCAATAAATGCTCAAGTAACAAACCAAGTTGACCATTGTTTCTTATCACCAAGCAAACAAACGTTGTTGGCAGGAAAACTGTGTTTGGAAAGTGACTCTCTACATGACTGAGATGGGCTCTGGTTGCTCTAAATGCCAATCCTCACATAATGCTGGTGGTCATCGGCACTGTGAAGGACTGTCAAAAAATCTAGCCTGCAATTTTATTTCAATGTCTTGCTTTCAGTTCATCTTCTGTTGCTCTGCAGGCCATATTTGGTACCACAGGAATAACTGTGAGTTTCACAGTGCAAGATTTTCAGTCATAGCTGGCTGTCTTTTACATTAATTTTTAGCCATAGTCATAGCTAAGATGCTGGATCAGCTTTTAAAAACAAACAAACATACAACTACCAAATAACTGATCTGCAAATTGCATATACTGTTTAAAATGCCCTGGTCTACAGACGTCCACAGTCTTCAAAAAACAGTCCCTAGTCCTTTCCCTTCCAATCAGTACAAAATACTAATTGGCACACAGGCTAGCACACCAGCCAAAAGAGTTTTTTCCATTGAAATCAGTGGGAATGCACTTCAAAGGGTAGAGAAGGATGTCCCAAGCAAGCACATCCATTTTATAGCCTCATCAAAGCCAATCTTCTGACCTGAAAGTGGAGTATGTGAATCACAACAAAATGGGCCCTCTTCTGTGCTGCCCCAGACCAAACCAGGAGTGTTATCTTTGGCCAACTCCACAAAAGGCAGGAAGCAGGAGACCTGCTCTCACCCACTGCAGGTTCTCTGCTGGCCTCCAACCCAACAAGCAGGCGAGGCTTCAAGTGAGGTGGAAGCAGGCTACCTGAGGGACCAACAGTTTCCTACTCTAGGTTGCCTTAGAGGAAAAAGGAAATCATTCTAGAACAATGCAGACAGAGGCTTTAAATAACTATCAGAGAGGTGCTGCTTACTGGAAGTTAAAAGTTTTATCACCAGTCTCCCAGCAAACGTAAGCCTTGGATCCCACAGCTGACAGGTTCACAGTGTGGTGCCTGAGCTAGCAGAGGGAAGCACACAGCTTAACTGCATCAAGGCAGAATGGAAAAGAATCATTAGCAAAAATAATTTTCTTCCTCATTTTATTTATTCACGGCCAGTCACTGTTCAGTAGTAAGACTCAAGCTCTCAATCTCAGAACAGTTAAAGGAATCGTCACTGCCTGCTGAGGCTAGGTTAGCAGGATTACGAGCCTTAACTGCCAATCCCCAAGCGAAGGCCAAGGCAGACAATGCGTGCGGCGCACGCAGGCAAGCTCATTAGCAAAATCTAAAATTACAACATATCCCGGAATTGGGGCGGTGCCGGGGCATCGCACCGACACGGGGACACTCAGGTGAACCGCGGCTCGGCGGCAGGGGATTCCCCAGGGAAGCAGCTACCGGCAGCAGGCAAATGATCCTGCCAAACGCGAACCTGCTGGGGAGGGATCTCGGGCACACTGGTTGATCAGGTTTGGCGACACTTCAGCACTCAGCGTTTAGAAAGACACAGGCTTTTACTACTGTTTACATTTTAAACAGTGGCATGATTCACACCGCGAATCCCGAGGCGCTGCCTGGGAATGACAATCGAACGCGCACTCCCCGGCCAAGCCCGCCCGTCGGACGGTGTCTGCTGGGGCGCTTATTTAGAAAACGAAAAATAAAAGAGAGAAAAGAAAAAAAAAAAAAAAAAGCCTCGAATCCGGAGTTTGGAGGCGAAGAGGAGCACGGTCCGGCGGGGCGGGGAGGCAGCGGCAGGCCGCGGCGGGGCCGGGCAGGCCCACGCAGGTTGAACGGCGCCGCCCGGCTGAAAGAGCGGCCGCGGGGAACCGGGTCTGGCCCGGCTCGGCCGCCCCACCGAGCCTCCCCCCGCCTCCCAAGGGCTCCCCGTCCTGCTGCCCACGCAGGACGCTGCCCCGCCCGTCCCCGCGGCAGCTGGCGGGGAGCCGGCAGAGCAGCCCCACCACCGCAACCACCGCTCCCGGCGGGCACCGCACCACTTCCCACCGTAGAAGGGGGCAGCCAACGCTCCGCCACCCCAGGACTACAATTCCCAGCATGCACCGGACCCCCCCGACCGCCAGGTGTATGGGCGGACCCCCGCACAGTGCATGCAGGGAAGTGTAGTTTTCTTAGCAGAAGGCGCACCGCCCCGTCGCCTGCGCGCCGCCGAGCGGGAGCCGCCATGCCGGAGGGGAAAGCAGCGCTGAGGGAGGTCCTGCCCAAGCAAGGTACCGGCGGCGGGCGCGGCCCGGCAGCCGGCCCGGTCCGGCCCCGGGGCTCACCCCCGGCTTTTTCTCTCCTTTCGCAGGGCAGCTGTCCGTGGAGGACGCGGCCGCCATGGTGCTGTGCAAACCCAAGGTGCTGCCCCTCAAGTCGGTGTCGCTGGAGAAGCTGGAGGCGCTGCAGCGGGCGGCGCTGGAGGCGGCGCGGCCGGCCGAGGGGGCGCCGCCGCCCCGGCCCTAGCCCCGGGCCCGGCCCCGGGCAGGGGCGGTGGGGCCCGGGCCCGGCCCCGGCCGTACCCGCGGCTCGGAGGTACCGGCTTTGTAACGGAGCTCGCGGATTAAAGGCTGGCCGGGAACGGTGGTGGTCCTGCTGGGACGGGGAGGGGGAGCCGGGCGGGGAGGTGCCTCTTGGGGTGTTTTTCCTGCAGAAGTTCCACTTGTCACGTTTAAGGCGAGGCTTTAAAGTGCGTCTGTCTTTAGGCTTGCCAGGCCCGACAGGTCACAGTAACGGCCCCGTAGCGGCTCAGCGGGCTGGCTCAGCTCCTGCACGCCCTGGGCCCGGCCCCACCACGGCTGTTCCCCGCACTTCTGAACACCCCGGATCCTGACACAAAACAGACATAAGGAAACAGGAGACCCTGCCCTGTGTTGCTGTAAGAGTCTTCTGCAGATCCATCTTACTCTTGAGAAAGGGCTCGGCCAAGGTGCACTGTATAGACACGTTCAGACTATCTCAGCGCCAGCCAGGATGCTCCCACGCAAGTCACTTGTTTTCAAAAACACATTTGGTAAATACTTACCATGAGTTAATGACTCAGTGCGCTTCTGCGGATTGTAATACGAAAGGGCGGTGTTAGACGTACAACTTAATTGCACACACTTCAGAGTTTTCAAGAGTTAAATTTGTTCTTAAAAAAAAAAAAAAAAAGGCAGAAATGAGAGCTTCACAAAAAAATATTTTTAATATGTTTTACCAGAATTTTCCTGTTACATAGAAAAAAAGACGAGTTTGGTACATGGGGGCTAAAATCAACCACTGTTGTCCCCTTGAACGGATGAATTAATCTTATGACCCAACTCCATTTTCTTGGGCTCTTTAAAGAAATAACTATTTTTCCTCCCAAAGCACAGTATTTCTTCAGCAGCAATAGAAATGGGATCACAGCAGCTTAACTTGACCCTTCTATAAAGCTTTATATAAACCAGTGATTTTTATGATGACAACACTGTCCTTGAAAGAAAAAGCGGCAGTCAGACATCGATGCAAACATGGAATGATTAGGTCATAAAGATATGGCACTTAAAAAGATAGCTTATTTCAAAGGCACCACCACAGCAGAGTGGTCAGTTGTTCTTCTATATGCCCCAAGAAAGAAGTTTTCTTTCTGAAATTTATAAAACTATTTAAAAAAAAAAGTTTGTACCCAAAACATGTGCTTTTAAAAAAATATGAACTGTGCTAAGCAACTCTTAAAATTTTGGTGTATTATATATGTGTATACATATATACATACACACAAAAAAGCATGTGTGTTTGTATATATATATAGATACCTGTCTGTTTTTCCCTTTAAACTTTTAAGGCTTCAGGAGTTGGTTCTCACATTCAGTAGCTTTCTAGCTTAAGACGACCTCCATCTCCTTCACTCACAAACCGCTTTCTGCCCCTGTAAGGAAGTAGAAAGTATCTTTTCAGTAATTTAAAGTAGCATCACTTGGGTTTTGTATCACAGAGAAGGATCTTCTCTTGGTCTTAGGAGTCAAATACAAGGTGCACAAGTTCAGCAAAATTAGCTGGCGTTCTTGATCACTGATAAATTGCGTAAAATCCATACAAATCTTACAAATCTTCCATCTAGGTTTATTCGCAAGAAGCTTTTTTCAAAATTTGCATTATCGAGTGTTTTCTACTTTGCTCACCTTTTAAAGTTAATACTAGCAAAAGATGCTAGTTTGAAAGCATGGGAATGGTGGTTTTCTACCTAAAACTGAAGTACATAAGCCAAAAATGCCTGTCAACATATTAATGGCAAAGAGAGTACAATCAAGCTTTTGCACAGTGATGACTTGCAACCCTCCCACACCCCAAACATGCAAAACATTTGATACCAAGATACACACAGACTCAATTTTAGGTCTAAAGTCCACAAATGGAGGCTGTTTTTGATAAAGACACTAACGTTACAAAATCTGAATTTATCATAAACTGTCAAGGTGGTTTAAGAAGCCTAACACAACACCCAAATTGGAAAAGATCTGTAATAAATAGTATTCCCAATGCATAAAATTGCTAATAATAGTTTTATATCTAAAAATTTACATGTATTCACCACAGGAAATTAAATGTAAGTAATGTGGCCAATAAGAAGAGAACAGAATACTGATTAGCTGCAGTTCAAACAGCATTATTTATGCTATGAATAAGTAAACAACAAACCAAAAGCACTGTACCAACCGCAGGACAGATATGAAAGCATCAGGTGTGCAGAGCTTATTCCACACATGTGTCCTATTCCTTTTGACGTAAACATTAGAATTGGTTGTCTCATAACTCTACTTGTACAATTTGTATGTTTAAACCATTTTTAAGAAATTTTTTCTTCTAGGCTTTTTTTCCACTATCACCTACATGGATCATTGTGACACCTGAATCTTCCATCTCAGTACTGCACTGATCTCTACCAACCAAAACAGGAGAGGCAGGCCTTTATCCGCTGAAAAGCGCACAGGCCTGCTGCCTGGGACTTTCCTCAAGTATTTATCCTAGCCTCCACGTAACAAGTTCCACATCAGTGCAGCTTCTTAATAAACTTTCTACCAGTCCAACCCTCTGGTTTCTTCATCTTCCATAGTTTCCAGTTCCAATCTGTAATACTTTGGTCATAAGATCCTGCTTTGTGTTACCTACAATGAGGACAAAAAGCAGTGCCTTGACCTATCTACAATAAAACAAGTACCTTGAAGGACACAGATCTCTTAGTGGTTTGGAGATTATTCCAGCCTGAAAGCATTCCTCTACGAACCGCTCAAGCACAGAATAGGAGTGTGGCACATCCAGGTTAATATCTGGGATTTCACAGTAAACTCGTTCATAGCCCTGCAATGTAAGTATTCAAATAACAATCTGGTTATTCTATGATTTTATTACAAATTTTTTAAATACTCTTTTGCACTCAGAGGATTTATTTTTCAATACAGTTTCATGTATACTATGGACAGTTTCAACAAACCTAAAACAGTGCAGCTGCAAGTCAGTGGAAAAATCAAGGTATGATACCAGCCAATACGATGGTATTACACAACTACCTATCTACATAAAACACACAGCTGAATTTTTAACTTCTAAAGAAGTCAGAAATCCAGACAGTACAGAATGTGTATGTTAGCCTGGCTGCTACTGCAATGGGTAGTAACACAAGGAAGGAAAGTTAATTTTTCTTCCATGCAAATGAAGAAAATGTAGCCACAAATCTCTACCACAAAAGTTTATGCAGTAAGGAAAAAACACTGGTCACAACCAGTGATGACTTCATCACTTCCCACCAGCAGTGTGGCTGGGTAAATTTTGACACAAGTCTTTGTGTGGTACCTAATTTGCCCTGGGAACAGCAGTTCTTTATTCCTACCTAGAAGCAAAGCCATGAATGATTCCAACTGCGTAAAACATTAGTTACAAATGTCAATTAGAACAGCTAAGTCGATCCTTATTGTACTTCTTCAATTATGAAGAACTACTGGATAGAAAGAAAAATAATATTTAAGAAAAATGAAGCTATATTGCAGCATTTTACATGATTAGTTTTAACCACTTAATTGCATAAAAGCAGTAAGAAATATTTGCCTGAAGATTCAAATACTCTGTACATCACAGTTCTACAGAGAACTACTGCTTGGAATTGATTTGTACTTCTTCCAGTACATGGCAAGTATTGTGTATATATCGGTGACAGATTATTTGTATGGGATACAGAACCACCATGGAAAATTAAAAAAAAAAAGTCAGTCAGCAATAGACTACAAAAATAGTACTTAGGTAAAAACTACACATTTTGGAAGACCTTACTCCAAATTCTCCAAATGCCACACTTACTCTTTTCATTTGGTCCATAGTAATGACAGAAGACCCCCAGAGAGATTTCAACAAATCCAGTATCATTTTAAAGGTCTTTTCTCCAGTTGACTCCAAAACCATCACAACGGCCTAAAACAAGTCATGCAAATGTTTTAACTAAGAAGAAAACACAGGTTCAAGTGCATGTTGTGTAAGCATATGAGGAAAAATAGGCATTTTTCCGGGGAGAGAAGTCCATTTCTTACATGCACGCACAATTTCAGTATATTATTATTTGAAATGAAAAACTGACGAAAAGTTACTCCGATAAAGACAAAAGGTATGAAAAACCAGAAAAGACTAGACAGAGTAAAAAAGCACTGCCTTTCTGGCTTGGGCTTGAGAGATACATGACTGTATCTATATGTTTGCTGCAGTACAGATGGCAATTAATTTTATGAAATTAATTTTGTACCTATGAATTTTTTTTTGGTATCTGTGATTTTAGAACTTAGAAGTTTAAAATCCACAAATCTCCACAACCTCTGCCAACTAAAAGGATTCTTCCAAAAACACGGGAAAGGATAGAAACACGTTTTCTATCATGAAGGATTTCTGTAAAAGAAGTCAATTTACTGGAAAGAAAATTTTGTAGTTTGTGGGTGTTCAGCTGTATTGGTAAACAACCATTTCCCAGTTCGGCAGATAAAAGAGTACAAGTGGGAACGGTCTCCCAGATACAGCAAAGGTGGTCTTTCTCTCATACAGTCTGGTTCTTAAATATCTCAGAGCTTTTACAAATGTGCTAAATGGAACACTTCCACCCTGAAAAGGAAGCTCTATAATTTCACAAAAACAGATAACGCCCATTAGAATACACAGGTATCAAACTAGAAGGAAATAAACACCAAAACAAAGCATGGCTTTTTGCTATAATTCCTCAGCAGAAAATAAATAGATCTTTTCTTTTTCAGGAATCTATAAGCTGAATTCAGCCATTTACCCAATGAACAAAAATTAGTTCTGGATCTCCTCAGAGTAACAGCAGCTTACTAGTTGTACAGTGGGCACACAAATAAGCACACAAAACATTTACATTACATGAAACAATTTAGCTATTCAAATAGTATCAAAACTTGCAACGTGAGCTTCAGATTCCAGTTATACTATTTGCATGTCCGTATCAAAACAAAACCAGACCTATTGGTATTGTTGACAATTATTAAAGGGACTCTGATTTCTCCTTACTTCATATACAAGTTCATGGTGAAAATGGGGTACTTCCAGTTCCTGAAGGCAACGTTCAGCTTCCAGTACATCTCCGGAAAGCAAATACTCTTTCAGCAACATATCAATCTACCAAATTTTAAAACAAACAAAAAGCCCAACACTAGTTAGATACAAAATTTAAAAGCTGACAACTCTTTTGATAATCTGCAATCAACCCAGAAGCAAGTTAGTTCCTGAAACTCGCTGCTAGTGTTTTTATATATGTAATTAAATTGAGATGCTATCAGCAACCTGAAACAGTATAAGCCAAATACCTATCCATAGTGTTAATACAGCCATTCAAGCACCCAAAACATTGCTTTATAAGATGCATATCACCATAATATGGGTACGATTAAGCTTATTTTATTCTCTGAACTCCTTCTATTATCAGTTACAACTTAGCAATTATAACATGACCTTTTCCTTTAAACCTGCTTACTTCATAGCACAGATCTCTAAACATTCCTGTTTCTTTTTTTGAATTATTACTGTGCTTTTAATCAGTGATGTCAAATAATAGTTTATCTAGTTTAGCCAGTTTCATCTTGGCTCTTATAATTACTTCACCATCTTACATTGTAAGCTCTTAAAAAGCTATGTGCTTGAAGTTTTGCTTAAAGCAAAAATAAATGTATACTTGCAATACAAAGTATGTACTAGCATGTTCCCACCACTGACAAATACTACAAAATGAACAAAATTACTTACATAATTTTTAAAAAACTACTTTGTATAAATACACTTTAAGAAAAAAAAAAAAGCCAAAACACTAAAACCATAATTTCTTACAGGACATATTTATCTCTTCACTCCATACCAAACAAGATAAGCTTAGAGAAGAGTTTTGTAGAAGTCAGTTACCTCTTTAACAAGGTGTTTCACAGACTGCTGGCCACCTCCCGACCCCCACATGTTGTCTATACGCTTTCCACCCTTTGTCACGCTCAGCAACACAGTAGCTCGGTCCAGCGCAGCTCTAGAAAACAAAGTTGGTATTTTATAAAGTTTTGTAATAACTTAATTAAAAGCCATATGTAACTTCCCCCCCACTGCCATTTCTCTTTGAGCAAAGCAAGAGATCCCTGGGAAGAGGTCAAGGTTAGCAACTCCACAGGGACGTGTGGATCAAGAAGCCAGCAAGCTAGCTCCTCACATTTTCTTTCTGCCAGCTTTACACTTCTGATTACACCATGCTAAGGACACATAACAATCCTATGCTGGTAGCAGATCTGAATCACCAATGCAGAATGTGAAACATCTTCACAAGAAATAATATTTTCTTACGCAGAGATGGATTGTATCTGGGCTCCTCCAAGAATGTAGCTTGGCATGTGTATCTCAAACTAAAGAGGCTTGAGTTGCTTCCACACTGAAGAACAGTTTTTCTACTGAAGTATTATTTTCTGTTTGGGTCTAAAGTATTATGAAATCTTGAGAATTTAAGCCAAACAGAATTTCAGAAGGCAAATATGTAGTTGCAAAGATGGTGTGAACTAGGGAAGCTTGACAGTTCATTGAGGAAAGAACAAAAGAGGAAGTAAGGTGAAGAAAAAGAAGTCTCAGATGCAGTTAAGCACCATCCAGCTGAAGAAGGAACAGTTGTCCCAATCCTCACACTGGGGGCTAGCCAGTAACAGTAACCCTATTCACCAAGATTTAAGAAGTACAAAAGACTGGCCAAGAAACAGCAAAGGCAGAAAAGCACCCCAGATGTGCAGTATGCAGGCTACAATCCTTCCAATCACAATACATTTGTATAACTGACAGACAATTTTTGAACCCTCAAGTTTGTCAGCTAAGCATTTCCCTTCCTTCTCAAAGCACCCAACTACAATAATTACAAATGGAACTTTTAGAAGCTACAAGAGTTCAGCACCTCCGTATCAAACCTGAAATACACACTTACGGGGAAAAAGTAATAAAATATGGCTAGTTATCAAAATGTTCCTCTTTGTCAGAGATTGTTCCTTCAAACCTCTCACCCTGACATGGAGCTCAGTAATACCTGATGAATAAAGCATTACAGAGAAAGTCTGGGAAAGCACTGCACAAGCGTCAAACCTTTATAAGGCAAAACAGTTAATATTTACAGCAGCTGTTCTGATGCTATATTTACTTATTAGTCACATTAAAGCTTTTTCTAAAGACAAAGCTTTCTATAATCACTTCTTGTTTCAGCTCATTTTTTTTCCACTCTCAAACATAAGCTGGACAACAAACCTGACAAACTTTACTCAAATGGATTAATACATTTTTCAGGCACTTTTGGTATTTCTCCTCTGACCTGAGTCATTCTAAATTTTTTTGTTGTTTTCATTGCAGACTTTGTGGGGGTTTTTTTGTTTGTGTTTTTGGGTTTTTTTGGTGTTAAAAAATAAGGAGTTAGGGAGCCACATGATTTATCCTGAAGTCCTAAATTCCTGATCACCATCTGGAATAGAAAACCAACTATATAGAAAGCAAGAAAGTTACCGAGCTTGGATGCAATCCACTGTGCCTTTGTAGCCATCTATGTAGGTACTGCTTAGAACTCCATCTCCAACAGCTCTAGCAATAAACTGTCCCACCAACTGCAATAAAACAGAACCATTTTTAATTAAATGTTGAATTTCAAAGTAGTTCTAAGTAGACGATTATTGGTTTTCAGATTTTATTTAAATGAGCTATCTCAAAGTGAAAACACAGCCTGGGAAATTGGTAGGGGATTACAGACAGTAAGACAATTCATAGATCAAAATACGGAGTCTATTTCAGTTTACTTGATCAATTTTAGCCCCCATTTAAAAGAAAAAGCTTTTGACTACTAGCATAATACTTTACAAATATACCTGTGGTGCCCTGGGAGAATCCAACACCAATTCAGGTAGTTCTTTAAGCAATCTATCAAACGATTTTTCCACATCAGTTTTGCTTACTACTGTCCCGCACAGGTCGGAAATAAGCTTAGATGTCATTTCCCTGTGACTAGCCTTCCCCTCTAATGCCAAGGAAACAGCCAGCACTGGCACACTGTATTTCATTTCACCGAGGTTTAAATTCTTCAGCATCTCCTAAATAAGATTTGAAAAACAAAATAGATTAAGATTTAATAATTTCTATTATATAAATATATTGCAAATACATAAATACTTACATGCTTATATTTATATATTTACATATATGCTTTTGCTCAAGTAATTAATGTAACTGCTTAGGTATTTTTATTGCACATTTTTTGTCAACATCTCTATACACTCATTTATGGCTAGCAGTTGCGATTCCCTTGTATGCTACAGGTTTGCCCCCTAAAATAAAGAAGTAAAAAAGGCACGCAACATACCGAAACTTCATTAGTATCTCCATGTTCAAAATACTCCTGGATAATTGGTGTTAAAGTTTTTTCAAATGCTCTTTCATCCAGAGGTAAAACTACTGTTTCATAGACACAGTTCTCCTATTTTAAAAGATAACAAAAGCACATATCCTTTTGTAAACTGTACTGACTCACATCTTATGCAGTGCTAATAGCATCAAAATGTATCAATCCTTAATGCTTTAGTCTTGGTAGACAGTATTCTGCCAAAAAATATCAGATTATGTCTCTACCGTTAAAGTGCAGACAATACTGGCTAAATGTCATGCTTCTTATATTTTTCATTGTTAGCTGAATTCAACTGAAAGGCTGAATTTACTGTTTAAGCGAGGGTAAAGACTCCAAAAACTCTGTTCCTAGGACTTTGCTGACACCACATGAACACAGAGATCAAATGCCTATGTACTATGTGCTGAAGGGATTGGAAAAGAAACTCCTGTCCTAGCTCAGTCCTAGCTCAGCAATTACCTGTGTCACAGCACAAGATTTAACTTTCAGCATCTCCCCCTGCAAGTGGCACTCCAGTCCCTGGCAGCAAGCCTGCCTGTTTTCCCTCTTCCCTTAGTGACTGCATGACCAGACAGGTAACATGTACAAATCAGAGAAAAGGCATTTTCAGAATATTTGTGAGTGAAGACATTCCCCAAGGGGAAAAAGAATCACACAGCAACTGCCTCCTGCACAACCTGGTCCTGCAGAGTTCCAGCATGACCAGATCTCCCCACCGTAGGTCAGTTCCCTACTCCTCACTGACTACTTAAGTAACATGCAAAGCAATACTACATATTGCAGAAATCTGAACAAAGTGGTGTTCCAACTAACGCTTACTGGAAAGAAGCTTTCCATAATCAAGAAGTATAGCAGAAGCCCAAAAGCCTATCCTTCCATCACACCAGTCTATTTAAAACCTCAGAAAAGCTAAGTATACAGAAGTTCATGGAATATTAATTCTTCATTAAACTTTCTCTTATGCATCCATCAGCTTCATTTTTAATAGCTATCTCTGTTAATGTAAAGCACTGAATTGCAGGGGAAAAAAATGATACCAGAAGTAGTTTTGATATTCCCACATACCATCCTCTCAGCAGCTGTGGCTACAGCAAACAGCCTCTACTCAAAGGACACCACCATCACTCTGCTTATTTTATACAGATTTTACTTACAGTCTCACAATTGTGTTGATCTCAGAGACTCTAGTAATCTGTGTTTGTACTTTGTTTCCTTTCCTCAGTGACTTAATGTTATAAACCATCCTTTGCCCAATGAGCTTTACTTTTTTTTCCCTCCCAATAACATGGCTATAAGGTACAATATTCCACAATATATTCTAAATAAATACATTTAAACGTAATATCCAGACTATCAACTTTGCACTAGTCTGAAGTGTTTATACCAAGTAGATACAATAGAAACAATACATTGGGAGGGTTGGGAATATAGAGAAGAGAAAAAAAATCCCGTGCCCTACTAAACCCCTGACTTGAGAAAGCCCGTCTTGCGTTTTTAACATGGTGCCTGTTTGCAATATAGAGCAGCACTGCACCATTCACCTCCATGGGAACTAGCAGTGGAGAACACATCTGGGAAAAGGATGCTGACTAGTCCAGCATGGGCTTGTGGGGTAAGATTTGTGAGTATTACACTGTGACACTTCTGCATCGGCTGTCTTTAGCCAATAATCAATTTCTGAAGATAAAAATGAGCATTTAGTACAGCCAGGCTGACATTCATGTAACTCACAAGGTCAAGCTTCCATTAATATAAGTATCACAGCTACTGAAATCAATAAAGGAAATCAAACTCAACAATGCAAAGAAATTATTTGCTTACCTGGTCATCATCATAATTAGGATCTTTAATATCTACTTCTTCCACATCATACACTTGTCCTGGTGTTCCCCAAACTCCTTTACCACCTGCTCCACCTGGCAAAAGACGGGACAGTGAAAAAGGACTGCCAGTTTACAAAGAATACTCTGAGCTCAACCCAATATTCTTTTACTTGAGTGATGTATCACTGCTTGTGCCCACCTCCTGATTAACAAATATACGCTGAAAAGGGTGTGTTTGTATGGCTTGTTCCCACTTTAGCCACCAGTCTTTTAATCACTTCCAGTAAGATACTAGAAGCAGTATGAAACTGCATGAGAAATCACCGAAGGTTGAAACTGTACTTTCAAATACAACCATGCTTTAAATCTACATTAATAACAGTCCTGTGAATCACCAACAGTTCAAATTTACATATTAGATTTGCTAAGAAAAGGCACTTACCTTAAAGACAGAAGTCAATTGATGATACACATGTAAAATTTTCTGGTAAGAATGCCACCTACTATTAGCTCCTATTGCCACCTACTATCCAAAATACAGAACCAAATGCCTGCACAGAGACTGGTTTATGAAAATGATTCCCAGTGTCTTAAAAAAAAAAACAAAAGAAAAAACAACCAAGTTTTGGACAGAATCTTTATCATGCTACACCAACCTTTCTTTGGTAGACCTCTTCCCTTTCCAGACCTGGATCGCCTGTCCAAGAGTTTCCCCTTTGGGCTCGTCGGTACAACTCCAATCTTCAGTGTCTCTCCATTGTCACTAACAGAGTCTCCTCTCCCAGAATCTCTAGAAGAATTTTTTCTCAACCTTCTCTTTGCTTTAGCATTTATTTTTGCTTCAGTAATTGAAGTTGCAGGAATCCAATTTCCATTGATTTCAGTCTTTCGTTCCTCAGACCCACCATTTTCTTCATCACCGGAAAACGGAGCATCGCTTAGATTCTCAAGTTCTTAAAAAAGAGACAGAGCAAAAATATCGGTTAATAGTTTTAAACAATTTTGTGTTAAAACACCAAAACACGTTGTATTTGAAAAGGACTAGAATGTTAAATAGAATTCCAACAGTGTTAAGGCAAATCATATTGTTTTTACCATATGTCTACACATCACACTAATAAGGAGTTCCGTATTCCCCTGCACAAACTATCCACAATCTAAATAGAGCATATGTCAAGAGTTGGAAAGCAAATGAATAAACCATTTATAATCAGATGAACCACAGAAAGCCACACCCTTGTTAAACAAAATCTATCATAACTCTTCAGTGCATAAGATCTAAGTGCTTAGTTCTTACTCCATGCACTCATCGCTTGATTTAGAAACAAACAAAACTGCCAATACAGTAGATTCTGTAAGAACTCACTAATGTTAACAGACGAGTCACCAAAGTGAAATTAATTTCCTAAACCATCAACCAACATTCCCCTCATTCAAGGAATTTCAAAGAGCTCACCAGCTGGAAAAGCAATGATTTAGATTTACAAGAATACAAAAACATCAATACTTTTATTTTTTGTTTTTCAAGTTATGGGGGAAAAAAATGCCATTTAATAGAAAGCCTGGGGAGTTCAGTCACAAAGACTCATAAAGTCTTTTTCAAAACCATGATGTCTTCTCTGTGGATTGCCCCTCACTGTAGCTCGTCAAGACTGTTTCTAAAATGGCTATGGTTTATTCCCCAGCACAATCATATATAATAGGTAACCAATTTTGTTTCATACCCAACAAAAAATTCTCTCACAACTTAAGGATCTGTAAATGACTCGGATCATTGGGAAATGCAATAATTTCACTCTTTCAGGAAGTTAGATCCAAATTTTAAAAGTGCATTAAAGTCTCTTATCTCACAAAGTTTGGATGTCCCCCATCTGAGCTGTATGGTTCAGCAGAATGTCCTACTGAGAGCGTTATGAGCAAAAGCCTTCTTCTTCCCCCTCTTAACCCATCAAAATAAAAAAAAAACCCAACACCTGGGGGCTTATTTAAATTCGAGTTAGTAGCTTGATAGTCCTTTCAAATTGGGAAACACACATGCAGAGGGAACAGCCTCAGCTCTCTGTTAGAGAGCCCCTCTTTTCTTGAGGATTCAGTAGAGTCTTGATAAAACCTGTAGCCCTAATCCTAGGAAGTGCAATGATGAGGCACACAGAGGAAGCTGCTTTTCCAGCTGTGCCCAGCCTGCTTTACAGAAAAATTCACTGCTGTAAATGAACATGCCAGAATATGAAAAGTATTTTAAATTTTGTATTTTAACTTGGCTAAATGTATTGCTTCACCATTTCAATACATTCCAATTAGCAACATGCATTTGGCAATACTTCTCAGAACTGTATTTTTTCAATTCAGAACAGGTTCATGAAAAATTGTTTTGAAAGCAAAGCGCACTCATAAAACATTTCCAACCTCAAAGTATTTACCCGTATCAAAAAGGATACTACACTACAAAATGAAGAACGTTTGATGCAACTGTCTCCTTTGTGATCAAAGAAATAACATTTAGATACTAGCATTCACAGATGCGAATGCTATAGCTGAACAATAATGCAGCCACTCCAGTCTAAGCTTCATCTTTCCACTCATTACTCCCACAAAAGCATTAATTTTATGCTTGCAGCAAGCTAAAAAAGAAAAGCATGCATCATGCCCAGGAAAAGATTCCCCACAACAAGCTTTCTCAGTTTGTCTAATATTTTAATAAAACAATGAGAGATTTGCATAAAGCCAGCAGAAAGGAAAAAATGCAAAACCAAACAGAACAGGTTTCCTTCCTCTCACTCCCCAGGGAGAACCCATCAGCACAAGCAGTTCATCTCAGACAAATTAATTTAAATTCTACTTCATGTCCACTCTCCCACTAATTTCTCCAGTTTAGACTTGAAATCTGCCTGTCCAGGAGCTACACTCTTCAATGACCACTTACTTCTTTCTCCGTTTCCAAAGAAAATGGCCAACAATTAACGCAAGTCAGTCCTGAAGCTGATGACTGAGGATAAAAGGGGAGGCTACAGTCCAACCTCCTTACACAATCCTGATGTCAGGTTCAAGACTAAAGGAAATCCTCCACAGGAAACATCCAACCCATAAGCCTTAATATTCCTCACTGCATTACTAAACTATTTTTTTATGTAACACTATCCCTTCCAGCTGCAACTTCTTTCTTCATAATACTATGACTAGCTGGTTCTCCAGTATTAGTTAACCTAGTTAGGCTGAAAAAATAGGTTAAACAGATACACTAGTTTTCAACAATTTTCTAAAATAAAATAATTTTATTAAAAGTACATATAAAATTATGCAGATCCTCCTTTCAGCTTCTCATTTTTACATCATACAACATATTCATATACATATATAAGCAATAACAGTGTTCTATAAACTTTAAGACTTTGCTTACTGCATATTAAGAAGTTATCCAAATTTACCTTATTACCCTGCTATTACGCCTAGTAGGCACAATTAAAATCGGTGCTTTTATGGTGCTGCCTTAATTAACAAAGCATTCAGCAAGTACTTACACAAAAAAAGGAAGAGGTCATATGGAACATGCTGCCCCTTCAACTGCATTACATACCATCTTAACAGATATATGATTTTTTTCTGGAAAACACCTAAAATCTACAAATACTCTTTGGTATATAAAGGTCAGTGCAGATCACAGCCTTTGGAAGACAACATGAAACTGTTAACTAAGCATCATAAAACAGGTTGTGACATGGACAAAACGGTCAATTTTAGGGCAGTCTCTAACACATATTCAGTAAATTTTTTCCATGCCAGCCCACTTCCAGTAAAGCCTTTCATCATTTGTTTCCTCTAATCTTAAACTGAACAGCTACATAAAAGCAAGATTTCTACCTCTCAAATGCACCTTCACACCTTACTTTTGAGCTTGTTCTTTTCATTGCACCAGCTCTACTGGAATTCAGACTCACTATTATTTAGTAAGTTAAAGAAGTGTTAACTTTATGATTTTACCAAATTTTGAAATAAATGTTATCAAGCAGGATACTATGATGTACAACTGAAAGAACTCTTCTGTAAATTTTTGACTTTTTTTTTTTTAAAACAGTACTGTTAAAAAATTAACAGACAATATAGTTTTCCTATAGAGAACACTTCAGGTCAGCTAAGCAATTTTAAGTAAAAAAATACTGAATATATTACTTACCTGTTGGGGTAATATGAATGTGCTCCTTTTCTGTTTCCATAGTTGCTTAACAGAACTGACCGTGAAATGCAAAGTCTTATGTTTTCCCTCCAAGGCCTAAACAGAAATGAAGAAGCTTAGGGGAAGAAAAGCACTAGATCAAATCTTAAAGAAGTAAAAAGCTGCAAAGGCTTCACTCACAAAATACAATGCAAAAATGTTTTTTTTTTTTTTAAAGCTATAATTAAGTATCAGTAACCACTGAAAAGTTCCTGGGAAGGTAAATGGTGTAACATGAGACAGCACCACCCTCACACACATCTATCTAAGCCTTGATGTCTTGGCAGCTGCCAGTTCTATTGCTTTCAGAGGTACTAGGATAAAAACCGTTAATTTAAGGGTAAAAGCCCTCTGTATGCAGCTTTTTTTAGTTGATAAAAGACACCTCTATCAACTTAGACTGTCCTGTTCTGCAAAGTGGTTATCTATATGAACATGCAATATCAATGTTATAATTGCATCCACAAGAGAAATATTTTTCAGGTGAACTATAATGATAAAACGGTACCAATTTATCGAGTTCAGACCAGCCCTCAGAAGACAAGGTACTGTTTGTTCCTCCCCTCTAGAACATGGGCTTTATGTTTTACTGTACACATACATACAGCTGTCAAGCTTTCACATCTGTGCTTCTGCACCCTTCAAACACTCCTTAAAACCACTATTCAATCTGCAAGGGATAAAGTTGAACACTTATCTTTTTCTGTTAGTCTCTTTCTCCCTCTTCCTAGCAGCTGCTATTCTACAAACCACCTCGTGTCATTGTGAAAGAGATGGCATCATCCATCTTTCCTTTAGGTACGCAAAAAATCAAGCAGCTCCAGAATTCCCCATACACCTTTTCACCCACAAGATTTTCACAAATCACTTCATAGTCCTGTGAATATTACTGGCATTTGTGTCTGCCCCATAAGAAATCAGTAGCTCTTTTTTCCCCCTTCCACATCCTTTGCTGCCCTGAAAAGCTTACCGTTGAGAAGCAAGATTGTGACACCAAACGACAGCACACTCTTCCCCTCTTATGCCCACTTGCCTACCACAGGCCTCTTAACTGCAAATGATTCATCACAGACCGTTGGCAATAAAGAAACCCTGGGTTTGGGCACAGTATCAAGCTGTCATGATCCTGCATTTCCTAATGTCAACCCAAACAGTTAACAGCTTTGTGTGATAAAAAGTCCTCCTGCCTCACACCATTTTTTAGATAAACGTTTTTTTAAGTTACCTCAATCAATCATTCAGGAGTTCTCAAATGTTGCCAGTCACTGTTGCTTGAGAGATTTTTTTTTTTTTTTTGCATGGATCTAAGCCTAATCTGAGCAAACTACCTTGTAATAACAGTTTTGTTCTTCCTAGTGGAATGTTCCATCAGTTGTTCACCTCTTTGAACAAGACAAATGACAAAATGTGTATTAAATAACAATCATGACTTTCATAATTTGTAATCAAGTCCTAAATTTCAAGTGGAAAAATACTTTTTCCACATAGGATCCTAGTCGAAATTCTCCACCTATGGCAACATAATAAACAGCAACAGCACTTTCATATGCTGTCTTTTTGAGATTCAGCATCCTGCTTTATTTGTAGTAAGGATGATGGAATAACTGAACTTTACCATTCATGTTGTCACAGTGATCAGGAGACATACGCTCAATTTAGCAAAGTGCTCTCATTAACTCAAGCCAACAGGTCTGCTGGAGCTTCAGGATGATGGTATTTATAACTTTATCAAAAAAATAATTTTATATTTTGCATTTATGCCACACTACTACCAATCAACTACAGGACACAACCTGAAAACCTGTGTTAAAAATACCAAAATAAATAAAATAACCCCAAGATTTTATGTTAGAAGAGATAATATGGGAACAAAACGGCTAGAAGTAAATTTAAGCATCTGCAAAAGAAGAATGATGTGAGAGATTTTAAGATTAATCAATTATATGAATAGTACTTTTAAAGTAGTTCAGTAGACAAGGGTATTTCCTAAGTCACTGAAAACCACCTATAAAATATGCTCAGCTACATGCAAACACTGTCTCAGTACTCACCACCACTGCGTGTACTTTATCTAAATAAGCAATTCGACCCCAGTGGGTGAATAGCAGCAGATTAACCTCTAGGAACGCACACTGCACAAAAAAGGTTCCAAAACTCCTCAAAACCTTACATCTATGCAAAGCATCCCTGAAGAACTTCCACATAGCTTACACGATTTTCCTCTTCCCCCTGACTTTAAGCAAACACTCCTCCTCCTCAAGGCTCTGGAGACCTGCTAAACGCCAGGTGTTAAGTCTGCAGCCACACGCAAAAACATCCAGGTGAGATTTAGCTACCTCTACAAACCCCCTGCCGCTGGGAGGAATCAATGGCGGAGCAACTCCGGCACGTAAAAGGCAGCGTGAGCCGGGGCTGAAGGCCGGGGCTGAAGGCCGGCGCAGGGGCCTGGCGCCACACGCTGACACGGCGGGACAGGCCCGGCAGCCGGGGATCAACCCGCACCTCAGGGGCTGCGTCCTCAGCGCCGCCGGAGGCGCGGGGCTCGCCGGGCCCGGCCGCTACCGGCGGGGCCGGCGGTCAGCCAAGACCAAGCAGCTTCTGACGGCGCTCAACCGCCCCTCCGCGACCGCCCACGGCCCGGCCACCCGCCACGCACCCCGCGGGGAGGAGGCCGGGCCGGGTCGGGCCGTCCCCCCCCTCACACGCCACCCGCGGGACCGTTACCGGCGGCGGTCCCCGCGCGCACCCCACCTCCCCCCTCCCCCGCCTGATTGTTTTTGTTTTCCTTCCCCCACCCCAGCGACACGGCGGCCGGCAGCGCCGTGGATTGGCTGGCTCCCGCCCGCCGCCGCAGCCAATCGGCAGGCCGGGATGCCTGTGGGCGGGGACGGGGGTGTGCAGCCCTCACGACAAGGAAAAGGAGGGTGAAACCATCTCGGACGTGTCGCGGGGGGGGTCGGGGAGGGAGCGGGAAGGAGCCATTCGCGTGGGGAGGGGAGGCGGGGGGCGTATACCGGTCGGTTGGGCCCGTGAGGAGATGTCCCTTTTCCTTCCCAAGAAGGAAAATGCCACGGTGCGTGAGGGAGGCAGGGAGACCCCTCCGTGCAGCGCTGCCCCGCTGCTGCTGCCGCCGGACGCGGCCTGGCTCCCGCCTGCTCAAGCCCTGTCCCGCAGGCCCTGTGGCACGTACGGCCCGCCTGGGACGTCTGGCCTGGTGGTTAAAATAAAGCAGATTTTACGCTACCCAGGCGCCGTGAAGTGCTGTCCTTTGGGGCTATCGCACACGCATCATACCAGCAACTCCCATTTCCCTGTCTAACATACCCCAGTGCCCTCGCCAAAAGCGCACCTGGCCCATCATCTGACTTCCTAATGTCTAGGGTGGTCATTAGCATCAATTAGCAATACCTTGTGACAGGTTTGGGGGTTAGATCTGAAATTTCAAACACCACAATATGGGAAAACGGTTGCACCCAGAGACAATGTGAGGGGACAGACCGGTCCAGTGACCGAACCAGACTGGGAAGACCAGAGCATGGACAGTTGTGGAAGCTGTGCCTGCCTTCTCTTCATCGTTGTGTCCTCCTCCTTTCATTAGAAATCAGTTTTCTACAAGAAAAAACATCATAAAAATAACATATTCCCTCTCTGTGCTGCTCTCAGCTAACATGGGGATTTCAGACCTTCTGCTCCCTCTTCACACAAGAGCCCCCTCTCCACCTTCTCAGCACTGGGCCGGGGACTGGGGAACACCCCAGCCGCCTCGGAGCTGGCAGACAGGATTCCAACCGACCAGGCCACCGACAGGTAAAAGGTGCTGCAGCCACCTTCTCCACTGCTGAAACTCTTTAACACAGTGCAGATTTAGGATTGACAGCTAAACCATGCATGCCCATCCACAACCTTTCAAACTTTCTACCTTATTTTAGTTTACATTTCCCCTGTTTATGCTATATGCGCTGCCCGAGGCCAGACACCTAATTAGAGATGACAGTCTCCTTTCCTTGTAATATATTCTGCCTCCATTCACAGTCTCTCCTAAAAACTCAGCTAACGTTTTGTTTTCTCCGTGTAATTTGTAACTCTGGAGAGCCCAAGCAGTAGCAGCCCAGTGCTCTGAGGGAAGCAAATACAGATCCCTTCTGCTTTAGTACTTTTGCATTGCAGGATTTTTCAGCTGCCAGCAAGATAATCCTCAGTTAATAGATTATGACTTGACTTTTGTAGTATTTTTACATACTTTGCCAGTATAATTCTACTCCAAATTAGTGTACTTTTGACTGAAATAAGAGCCAAACTTTCCTGGTGTAAGAGCCTCTGAAATAATTTACTGGTCCAGCTCTGCACAGATCATCAAACCTAGGTTTAAGAATTGAAATAACAGTGATCTGCTAAATGAACGTGCAGCACAATTGCTGTATTTTTAATGATAAATTCTCCATCAGACAAATGACAGAAAATCTTTCTTGTTCATGAAGACACTAAGTTGCAGACATTTTCAAGTCAGGGCAGTTCAGCATGCTCACACAAGACTTTTTTCACATGCAACCTAGAGGCAGCCTCAAAAGATGTTGTTTCCCCATCAATCAAAAAATAATATATAGATTGCTCTTTGCACCTCCACTGGCTAGCACATACCAAGCAAACCACTACAGTGTCACCACCGAGATTTGGAAAATAAATTCTAGCTATTCACATAGATCATGGAATTCTGCTTCCCCTGCAAGACAGAAGAGGGGCTTTAAAGAGATTTTTCAGTGAAGAGGAAAGAGGTGGCTGAGAAAGTGAAACAGTAACCAGAACCTGCACAGAAGAAAATGCCACAAAATACCACACCAGAACTAAATAGCAATTACAAATTTTAAAGCACTGTGGAAAATTGCTAGAGGATTTTCTGATAAGATTTAGGACTGGATCACTTCCATGAGGCCCAAAAGCTGGGTCAGCAATCAAAAGATGAAAACCCCTGCACCATCCAGCACACCTCCAGACAAGAAAATGGTGTGTTTTTTCTTTCTGCTGAAATGTCTCTATTAGCAGCTGGGTTATCAATCACTGAAAATCTCGTCTAGATTTGACTGCACATGCTTTCTGATTTCTAAAACACTGTCCCCTGGAAAAGGGCTGATGTTCATGATAGATTATTTGTATTTTTCCACTGTACCAGCCGGTCTGTTAAAAGATAGCTCCTCTTTTTGCCTTTCTAACCTCAAAACCACCTGCAATATTTAAAAGACAGCTGATCACATGCTAGCCTCCGAGCTGCAGAGACCTGCTTGCTCCCTCCTGGCCTCCCTCCCCCCAGCCATATTAATACCACCAAAATCCCCATAAAAAGAGCAGAGTTTCTCCTCCCATAGAAAAACAACAACAAAAAAAAAAAAAAAAAAAAAAAAAAAAAAAAAAAAAAAACAAACCCCAACAACTCTTTTGACCGCTTCTGGCCAACGAGCAGCTCCACACCCACTCCCCGACACCTGCACCCCGGGGTTACCTGCGCCCCCGACCTCCGCTGCGCCCACCGCGCTGCGCGGGGACCCGCCGGCAGCTCCCGGGCCCCTCCTGCGCTTCCACCCCTCCCGCCGCCGATCACCTGGAGCGAAATGCTTTGCACGGAGGCGAGCAGGCCACTTTCTAGCCGCCTTCCTTCCTTAGAGCCTGCTGGGTTGTTTTCAAACTCTCCCCTCCCTTTCTCACATGCTGGCCAAGCCCTCCCGTAACACCCAGGGGAGGAATCCATTGGCTGAAGTTCCCCAAAACGCGTGGAGCAGCCCTTCCCCCGGCCGATGTCTGGTGCACAATAGACACCGCGTGTCTCCAGGCTGCCCCGGCCAGTTTGCTGCCGGCCTTTGCTTTTCATCAAGGTTTATCTGAGCTGTAGCTGGGGTGACTCATGTAGGTCGTCTGACCTCAGCACCAGAGAGAGCAGCAACCAGCAGAGAGATGTTGCGTTGGGTTAGAAACGTTGCAGAGCAGTTCAGTGCGCTCCCCACTGTGGATTTTTCAAAGTTTTACTTTCTGTTTTAAATATTGTCGATAGGCAGCATCTGTGCTCCTGACACCTCAGCAGTGCTGTTTGATTACAATCGAGTCTGTTACTGTGTCACTTGGAATATAATTTCCACACATAATGCAGACAGCAAAAATATATCGTATCTGTTAAATCAATCTGCTCTGTTCAGTTGCCTGTCTCTTGGCCTTCTGCTTTCTCTTCCTTCAGCCTACTTTTATTTTTGCATCTTCTGCAAAGGTGCCTTCACAGAATGAACTGCAAGCACAGCAATCCCGTTCTTCATCAGGCAGCGTCAGCTCCAGGTTGAAAGGATACTGAAACACACCTTTGCTTTCTTTAATGCTTGGTAATTAGAGTTGCTTTTGAACATCCTCCTGCAGCTCTGTCAGTGAGCTGGGAACAGGGCTGCACTGCAAATCCATGTGTGCAGCACTGGTTGAGGCTGGGCACCCTGGGAAGGTGGAGGAGGTTTGCCTGAGCATGGGAACTGAAGTGTCACCTACTGGGATGGCTTTGGATAAACACTTTCCAGAACCACATCTGTCCTCTATCTGTCATGGCTTTCCAGGACTGGCCCCTCACATTGCACAAAAAGCCTTCCCTCTTCACATTTCTGAGTACGCCCTTCTGGCAGAAGCATCAGAATTGGGTTTGCTTTGTAAAACTGTTCCAGGCATGTCTCCTCTGCGCTGCAGTTGTCATCTGTTCATTCTTGCCTTAACAAAAGGCAATCATGCATCTGAGAAGACGCCTTACTGGAAAGGGCTGAACTTGTGAAATGTGCAGAAAAATGGGAGTACTTGGTTTAAGAGTTCCAGACAGTGAGTTCATTTAAAAGCTAACAACCAGAAACACAAAGTACCGCCTTTACCTCAGAATAATTGTCCTTTTTTACTGGTTTACTGTGGGAGAAAATCTTAGGGAACCATTTATTAAAACAAGGTGTGTTATTGCCTTGTAATTATTATTTGACAAGCTCAGGTCCTGTGATTAATAAATCATGTGCCTGCTTTTTGTGCGTGTATAATCACATGCTCTATATTTATATTGACAGAGGGTTACAGAATATTTACCTTTGTGCATAGGACTGGCAGGAACTTCTGTGCTACCAGGTCTCCTATCACAGGCACCATGTGATATAATCCTTTTCATAAACTTATTGAGTTCTGTCCCCAAAACAATTTAGTATTTTGTGTGCATGACTGCAATGGGGAGGCTGTTCGAGAAGCACATTGTCAAATGGTTAGTAATGCTCTTCTAACCTAAATGTCTAATGCCTCTTTTTGATCATTTGTCCTGTACCAGCACTGGTCCTTAGCACCATCAGCTCTTCCCTCTCCCTTCCTGAGAGTATTTGTGCAGAAGAAATCCTCCTGCTCTTGTCATTTACTTTGCAAAATGAAGCGAGATAGCTTCTCCTCGAGCACATCTTGGCCTTTGCTGCAGCCTAGGCTGCACCTCTCCTGCTGCCCTCCAGGACCGTATTTCTCACTTCATGTTTCCACCGTGTTGGCAAGTCAGTTATTCAGTGATCGAAGTGTGAGCTGCCAGCTAGCTGGTAGGAAAGGGTTTGGTCATTTGTGCCTATGACTGCCACTTTCTGCTGCTGACTACTTTATTCTGTGTAATATCTCAAGCCTCCTTTGTCCTGAGGTTGCTTCACATTTTCTGTCATCAGCAATTTCACCAGTTCTCCACTAACATTAGTGTCAAGCTCATTTGCAAAAACACTTTGCCAGATCTCCAGGAGTGATGTTTAGCACTCCCCTGGTAACTGCCTTCCAGCCTGACAGCCATGTGCTGCTCTCACAGCAGGTCTCTATGGGGTTTATACCTTGTGCTAAATCACTTCTCCCTTTTCTTAAGAACTTTCCTCATGGCACCATATGAAATGTGCAATTTAAGTCCAGATAGGTGAGATCCACCCCAATTCCTTCACAAATGGCTTCCAGCTTGCCTTACCCAAGAAAGATAAATGCGTTTGATAAACCCATTTAATCTCATGCCATTTTCCTCCCTCTCTTTTGCTAGCCTTTCCTTCACCATTTTCTCTGAAGCTTTCCATATACTATTAAGTTGAAACCTTCATGCCTGTTCTTGTTCAGATCAGTTCACTTCTTCTGTACAGGCTCGCTGTGCTCCTGTCCCTGACTGAGGGACCTGTTAAATACATTGGGCCAGTTCTTCCAGAGCTCTGGCATGCGGATTAGCCCGTTCCTCTGCCTTCAGTGCAGGAAGGAACCCTGAGATTTGCTTCTATCCTGGCCATGAACATTTCCATACCCCCATCCCATTAGCCTTCTCATCTGCAGCCACACGATTAACATCCTCAGTGAAAGTTAAGGCAAAGTATGAGTTCGGGTTTTGCACATACCCAATACACATTAACCTCTATCCGATGTAATCTCTTTTTCCTTCCCTGTTTCCTTCAGCCATATCCAACCAGGAAAAACATTTCCCATTTTTACTAATATTCTTTAAAAAAAAAACCTCTGACTCACTTTTGAGACATAGCTTTCACACCCAATTGGTTATTTTGCTTTTTAAAATGATTCCTTGTAATGATTGCTCATTCTCAGTATCATTTCTGAGGTTGAAATTCATTCAGCTGCAGTCTCTGCCTTCTAGTTTTGCCTGCACTGGGTTTTATTCCCAGTGAAGTTATGCTTAATTAACTAGAATTTTATCCCCAGTCCTGGATTCCCATCACAGTAAAGTTTAGACATGTATATCCCCCAGCTCCTAAGGAAAGCTGACAATATGGATTAGTTCCTGTTATTTATTTAAATACGCCCCTTGGAAATCTGAAGCTGTATCCTTGATCACACCTGTCTTGATCACAGGGATATAATATTTTAAGTAGGGTTGTGTTTATCATTTAAAAACCTGAAGCATCTCAAGTCTCCCAGGAAAAACTTGACCAAAGTGGATTTTCCTGATAATTTTAGGGCAAAAATAAGCAACACAGTGGAAGAGCAGAAGTAGATTAGTTGCTCTCTTTAGAAATAATTATTTTACCTTAAAAATATAACTATGTAAGTCACCTTTTCTGGTAAACACCAAAAAGGTATTTTACCTCAAAAGGGCTGGAAGACTCGGGCCAAGGCCTTCTCCTGGCCAGTGAGGTCTAGAGGTTTACCTGCCTCTCTTCATCCTATCTTACATCTGCTTTTTTCTCTGTTTCTCTCCTCTCACTCTTCCTCTTCAGTCCCTCCTGGCTTCCCTCCCCGCTGACACACTGTCCCAGAGTCCTAGCACTGGACTGAAGTCAGAGAAGTGTCGGTGTACAAGGGCTTCATGTTTTCAGCTCTCTTGCTGCAAGGCACAGAGGTTTGGCACCCACTGCATCCCTCAGCACAGCCGGCTGAGCCAGCCAAAAAGCGTAACATCTTAGAAATGTATTTCTGATCTCTCGGCAGGTGTCTGCACGTATATCCAGGCTCCTTAGCAGGCTTGGACCACCTGGTCTGGAGGGAGTCAGTGCTGCAGCACCTTCACTGTAGCGAGGGCTCGGCTAGTGGGAGAGTAGCAGCCTGGCTGCCATGCTGATGTAAGCAAAAACACCTCTGGTCCTCACCAGTTCTTGTACAGTGTGTCCTGGGGTATCAGGGTTTCAGGGTCTCTAGAGATGTTCCCTGCTGGGGAAGGTGACTGTAGTCTTCCCGCGTGCGTACGGCCAGCGGGCTGGAGGGAGTGTGCTGGAGATGGGGGCTGCAGTGGCGATGCTCAGCCCAGGGGGCACATCACACCACACCTTGCCCTCCAGGTCGCTGGCTGCCGTGGACTCGGCCACACTGTGCCATGGCAAGCTGGACTGCAGCCTCCGGCACGAGAGGTCCCACAGCAGCCCCTTGGCGGTGCGCACGGAGCGCCCGGGGGAAGGAGCAGCGCTTAGGAATGGTGGGTGCTGCTCCCAGCCAGGCACCTCCCGAGCGCTGCCCGGGCTGTGCTGACCCTCTGGGTGGGCCGAGCGCTTCCCCCAATCTCTGCACCCCCCAAGGAGCTGGCCTGGCACAGGAGTGGGCGAGGTGTGTCCTTGCGTTGGGGCATGAGCCACAGAGTCAGCACTTCGGGCCCGAGTTCCCACCTCTGACGCCGACTTACTGCATGACCTAAGGCGAGTCACTTAGCTGCTTTCCTTTCCTGACTCTGCTAAATGCCAGGCATAATAAGTAACTTTGTGTGAGTGCTATGAAGCTTTGAAATCTTTAGATGAAAAGGTGCTGTATAATTGCAAAGCATTTTTAATAATGCTAATCATTTGCTCCACTCTGCATTGCCCATCAGTCTCAGGCTGGAGCTCTGCAGCAGCCACCAATGTGCAGTCAGCAAGCATCAAGCTTTGCTGAAGTGGAGGATTTTCCTGAGTTCATTTCCATTTTGACCTCATGCTGGTCCAAACAGGAGTCTGAGCTCATCCCATGACCTGACAAAAAGCTGCAAACTCAGAACAGTGCCTGGCCCTTGCAACCAGGGGCTTTCTGGAAAGCAGGGGTATTTAAGGGAAGGGATTTAAACAGCTGTGTTGACAACAGAGACAATAGGGATCTGATTCAAGCTGAGGGGGCTACGTGAAAGGCGGCACGAAGCTGAAGCTAAAGCAACAGTGAAGAGGAAAGAGAAGGAAGAAAGGAAGACTGCTTGGGCTGAAATGCTCCTGGTTTGGAAGCAGCCACAGCCACGTGTCCCAGGAGGTGCCTG